ACTGTTCACCGATGGGCTGGACGTACTGTTCACCGATGGGCTGGACGCGCTGTTCACCAATGGGCTGGACGTACTGTTCACCAATGGGCTGGACGTACTGTTCACCGATGGACTGGACGTGCTGTTCACCGATGGACTGGACATGCTGTTTACCGATGGGCTGGACATGCTGTTCACCGATGGGCTGGACATGCTGTTCACCGATGGGCTGGATGTACTGTTCACCGATGGGCTGGATGTACTGTTCACCGATGGGCTGGATGTACTGTTCACCGATGGGCTGGACATGCTGTTTACCGATGGGCTGGACATGCTGTTCACCGATGGGCTGGACGCGCTGTTCACCGATGGGCTGGACATGCTGTTCACCAATGGGCTGGATGTACTGTTCACCGATGGACTGGACATGCTGTTTACCGATGGGCTGGACATGCTGTTCACCGATGGGCTGGACGTACTGTTCACCGATGGGCTAAATGGATTATTTGTGATTGTTGGCTGAGCAGATGTGATTTTGTTTGTCGACATGGACGGCAACTGTGTCGTATTGAATAGAGGAGAGGATGTACTGGAAGAAGCACTGCTTGAAATGGATGATGGAACCGTTTCAGTCTTCCCTTGTGTCATACTTACTTCTGCAAGAGAAAAAACAAAGACAATCCTAAGTGACCTGTGTGCAAGGGAAAGTAAAAAAGAGTGATTTCTGATTTGTGTAGGTCAACTAGTCCTCAAGTGAAAGCTGCTCTGCCACTTGACTGTTGCATTAACTCCCACCCTAACACCCTACAACTTGTTTTGTTGTAAAACCTATTATAGCAGTCAAGTCTGACATCCTACACTGTCAAGTAGCACGCTGGTACCAACAGTCTAGACTTGCCTGAGTACCATTTGAGATCGTAGCCAGCCTTCAAGAAGGTAGCAGACAGTGAACTCCAGTGACTTGTCTAGACTGACGGGTCAGTAAGGTATTGAGAAAGTACCATATCAAAGACGCTCTTCGTCAGATGAGACATTAAGTTGAGGCTCATCTGCAAATTCCACTTATCCTAAAGATCTAATGCACAAGTAGAGAAAGTAGGTAATTGCCTGTCAAAATGCTTCCCTTAAATACTAGAACCAATTGAGCTGGTCACTTATTTCAATGTTGACACAGCTAATCATCATGTTTGAGGGTAACACATGCTGTTTCTCACTCTCCATCTCTTCACAGGGTCCACCTTTCTTACAGCACATGCAGGGGGTACAAAGGGACAACACTGCAATGCCATAATTCTCAGTGTTACATTTAATGAGCATAATTGTAGAGGTTCACTCATTTCATCATTGAAGTTCTTTCTTTACCTAATTCATTCAAATGTTGTCTGAGGTTTTGTTATTGACCTGAGAAAGGCATATATGTTAAAAATTTGTTTTACTTGTTATTGACTAACATAAGTATTACCCAGCCCAATTTTTTCAAGAATAAATTCAAGAAAATATTTCTGGGATATTGAACAGGCAATTTTATTATAAGAGGGATGCCCTACCACTTAATATAGGGTAATAATTAGGGATAGTCTGTTATTGACCAAATGACCATCTTCCACACATTAAAATGTTCATCATTAATATAATTTAAAAGATGAGATTCATTAGGGGAGAGACATTAGTATTGGTCACCACTTCAGACACATTCTGAACCTATTGGCTCTCACTTTAGGAGTTGAAGGTAATATTACTTTGATATTTAGTGGATATCTCTGTCTTCTTTTAAAATTTAATTTTGTACCAACTAAAAGTTGATGTTTAGATTCTCTTGTAGAAGTAAGAACTAGTTATCTTTCTTTTCAGGATAATATTTAGTTTTGCTTTTATACTATTTATATAAAAGTCAAAATTGTATGATTTATTATAATATTAAATTTGTGTTTAAATTTAAATTGTCTCATCTGTCTTCTGTATCAAATGCTAAATTAACCCAATTCCTTTCCCCTTTGGTAGGGGAATATTTGGTTGAAGAGATTTGCTCAACATTTACAGTATCCAGAAAAATTGCAATCTAGCTAAAACACAACGTATTTTAGACTATCAGGAAGACGGCAACCACTTGATTGGCTATCTTCTTTTGGGTAGGGGACTAGTTGGTCTCTGAAGGCTCAAATTAACCCTCTGAAGTTAAAGGAAATTAATTGAAAAATAATTATTTTTAATTAGCCTGCTGAAACATGTTATAACGTGTCCAGACATGTAGGATTTGAACTCAGATCTTCTAGTCCATGCTTGATTTTGATAGCTCCAAGTGAGGAGCTATAATTGTAAAAACACCACAATGTTTCAGCATATTTAGCACAATTCGAAGCTTATTTGCGATCATAGCGGTGGCTACCTCATCCAGAGGACTAGGAGCAGTGCTTATCAGTGCAAATTGACAGAACACAAAATCCAATCTACTTTAGGTCAAAAGCTTTGATAGTGACTGAAAAGAAGGGTGCAACCTTACAGAAGGAAACACTTGCAGTTGAGTGGAGGTGTGAAAGGTTGGGACTGAAATTCTAGGTCAAGATGGACTATGCTGCCTTGGCAACATTATCAGGATCAAAATAAATCTCAAAAATGCCTCTGCATACAAAGATTCAGGCTTTGCGGCTGACAAAATGTGACAATGATACAGTTTGTGCTCCAGACTAGCTGCAAGTAATGGTAGGTAAACTCTTTGGGAAGCAGTGGATTGAGCAGAAAAAGAACTTGGAGAAGAAGAAGAATCATGTTATTCTACAACAATACCTTTACCGGTAACTGAACAAAACTCAAATTCATACTGCTCAAAAAATCTGATAAAAAGATGCACAAAGGTCAGACAACTCTATCTGCAATGGTGGTTGGAATATAGTCCAGCAGACTAAGTGCTGAAAGAATTTTAAAAAATGGTTATACCAAAGTCAATGTGAGAGAATTCCTACAGAAAATCCACAGGCGACATCAATGTATTGTGAACTGATGAGCAATAGTGCAGCAATTAGTATGATGGCCAAACATTTCCAAAGACATACAGGATTGCATTTTGTGATACCAAAAATAAGCCATACTCAACCAAGTGTCTACAGAGTCAATAATTGTATCTGTTTTTCTGGAAAGGCAATGACATATGCTAAAAATGGATTTGTTCAATTTTAGAGGGAAGATGTATTTAGAAGCCAGCCATTATCCAAGATGAACTGAAGTGGCAAGACTTCATTCAACCATAGTAGACTTTACAGCACTGAAAGGGATCTTTGTGATAAACAGTTTCCTGGGATAATTAGTATGGGACAATAGATCTCGATTCATGAATGAAGATTTCAGGAAGTTCACTTTGGAACAGGTGTCAACCAGGTGACAAGTTCTTAACTCCATCTGCAGTCAAATGGAAAGTCAGAAAAGAGTCAAGACTGTGAAGTTGATGATGCATAAAAATCCAGTTTGGGAATTAGCTCTATGCAGTATTAGCACAACAATGTTGAATAATGGGTACTCGCCAGCTGAACTGTTAATGGGGAGGTCAAAAATGTTTTTGAACACAACCTTAGGCCAAACATAACCTCTCAAGATCACGAGAAGGTTAAAAAACAACTCAAGAAAAGCCAAACCAAAAACAACAGAGGTGGCACACCTCTGGACAATGGGTAAAAACTCTTGTCAACCTTAAAACCAGGGCAGAAAGAGGAACTCAGAAACAATAGTCATCAGGTAAACAGAGCAACCAACTGTGGTTCAGTGGTAGAATTCTTGTCAGCCATGTGGGAGGCCTCAGTTCAAATCCTGGCCAATGAGTGGCACTCCTTGCCTTCCCTCCTACAATAGGAACAATGTTGTTAAACATGAAAGGATGCAGAAAACATTTACAAGGATGTTACAAGGGGTTGGAGGATTTGAGCTGTAGGGAGAGGTTAAATAGGCTGAGGCTATTTTCCCTGGAACGTCAGAGACTGAGGGGTAACCTTATAGAAGTGTATAAAATCACGAGGGGCATGGATAGGGTGAATAGCTAAAGTCTTTTTCCCCAGAGAAGGGGAGTCCAAAACTAGAAGGCATAGGTTTAAGTTGAGAGGAGAAAGATTTAAAAGGGACCTAAGGGGCAGTTTTTTCACACAGAGGGTTGTGCGTGTATGAAATGAGGTGCTAGCGGACATGGTGGAGAAGGCATCTGTATGGCTGCAAGAACAGGAAGGGTCCAGGGGGATATGGGCCAAATGCTGGCAAATGGTACTAGATTAACTTAGAATATCTGGTCAGTTGAACCGAAGGGTCTGTTTTCATGCTGTATGACTCTAAAACACCTGAAGGGACATTCAGGAAGAACAGGATGCTATTGATCTTACTTGAGGCAAGAAGTGAGACTGCAGATGACTAACTTAGGATGTGGGACAGCTGATACTACACCTACACTGCACCTGATTGTGTATCAGGAGTCAGTTAGCTCAGATGGCTGGATAGATTGTGGGTAGAGTGACAGCATGGGTTCATTTCCTGCACTGGCTGGGACATCCAAACCATTGCAACCATTGAGATTGGACTTTGAGGGAATGGGGAGAAATGATGATGATGGTGATAACAGCGATAACTAACAAAGTTGATTGTGATGTCAATGATTACAAAGATTATTTAAGGAAGTAGAAATTGTAAGAACCATGTCTTTATATTTTTATGTCACTAAGAACTGTGGATTGTAAGGAGAAGTAACTTTCAAAAGAAAGAAATTAGGAATTTACCAAGGTAGCTGCATAACTTATAACAAGGAATTTGATACCCATTGTGAACACTTGGATTTTTTTGAAGCAATGAGTTCCTGCAATGTGTAGATTCATGTAAATCTTACTAATGTAACTGATGCCATGACTCTGACATCAGTAAGAGAGAACACACCAGTCTAGAATCGGCATTTGACAGCAGAGGTCGTAAACATAACACTAGAGAGCTGTGTATGATAACCTACTACGTGAGGTAAAAATTAAAGCCACCATACCCTACCAGGTCATAAGGCTGTCTCTCAATAGAGAGAGATGACTTGTGGTAGTTTAACTTGGGGGTCACTACGCCTCAGGCAAGAGGAGAGGTTGAGGACAGTCCTTTGTGGTAGCTGGTGCAGGAATTGAATCTGCACTGTTGATGTTAGGCTGCATTGCAAACCAGCCATCCAGCCAACTGAGCTAACTAACCCCCAACCTATTATTTACAGATGAAAATAAAGAAATACTACAATACCTAGGGAGTCAAAGAACCCACTTTATTGATAGGAACAAGCTGCCTTAGGAACAGTGTATATGAGGACCCAAAATACCCAAGAACAATGTCTCAATGTGCACATAGCAGTATTGATTTAAAGCAGAAGTAACACATGTCCTGGCAGAAACTGGATTAAGTACACCAGTTACATTTTATGACCATCCTTCTCATGCATAAATGGAGATTAAATGTAGGGATTGGCTGTGACGTCATGTGTGTGTGTAGGAGAAAGCCTGATGAGAACCACTGAATATCAAGAATGGAGTCATATTAAAAGAAGACATTTACAAGAGCTATGCAGAGGGCATTGCATTTCACAGCCTCTGAAGCTCTCACACCTGATCACATCACCTGATTTTCTAGTTATTTTCACCCTTTCAACTCTTACAATAAG